AACTATTTGTCCCTGTGCTCGAATCTCTGTCGAAGACACGCCCCGCGCGTGCACTGCCACAAATAGATCATTATTTATATACGTATGCACCGCGTCGAGGCAACACCGTGGGCACTCACCCATTCTACGATGACGCAGCACGGTACACCCAGAGCTCTTCTCCTTGTCATGGGACGCAAGCGTCTGCCACCGTGTTCCGCCGATCGCCGATCCGAAATCCGTGAAATCCTTCTCTCTTCCTTCGTCGTGTTCGCTCTCCCCACCGACATGCAGATCACATCGCTCTTCCTTGCCCTCACGTGAAGTTCACATCTCTCGTCTCTCGACGTGTGCACGTCCCTCTCCTTTGCGTGTTAATTTTTACCATTCGATCTTCACTCCTCGAATGGGAAAATAGAGAACGAACGAGGACCGACGTGGACAGGTATCGCTCGGAGACGACTTATCGCCGGCTCGATCGAAATCAACGACTCAAAGGCGGTTCGACGCTTCGGCCTCCTCGAGAGCCATTTCTATTTGTTTGCGAGCGAGTCGCGTAATTGCGATACTAGCGCCGCTTGTCAAGAACTGCGGGGAGATCGTCGAGAAGAAGGGACATTCGAAACTTCCCTATTCTTCGTCCCCTCTACGGGTCTTCTATTTCTTGAAAAAAAAGTTACTTCTGGGTTAGTTTGACGAGATTACAAATTTCTATTATTGTCGCAATTAGCTCTTATGATACTTGTCTCGCATTAAAATTGGAAACTTTCAGGTAGTCAAGAAATATATTTAGGTAATAAGCCTCTTTATGACCGATTGTTTCAATTATTGAATCTTAGGCGATGTTTTTTTTTTACTTATTTTTCCTTTATTTATAATATAAATCTAAATATTACTATAATTATATTAATTCATGATATTTTAATTGTATAATTGTATAATTATATTAATTTATCATATTTTTCATTATGTTTATAATAATTCCTTATATTCATAATTGTATTAATTCATCATATGTTAATTGTTATAATTGTATTAATTCATCATATTTTTCAATTCAGAAAAAGATAGCACTCGATGATAGCGGTAGTGCAGTGTTACGTACAAATTGAGTACCACTGAGCGAACTTGTAAAGTGCTATCAGAGGGGTAAGGAATTAATATGGACAATATTTGCTGCATTACGTGTCATTCGTTGTATTGAAATTTTTGACTGAAATAATATTTATTTCAGTACAATGACATCGATATTGTCGACTACTATCGCAAAAAGCAATTCCCTCGGATATTTCACTCGATTATGTAAGGTTAGTACTTGTGGTACTATAATGTAGCATTAATATAATAATGTAACGTTATAATAATAGTCATTCATTTCATAATTGGATATTGTTAAAATCATTTATAAATTGCTCAATCGTAAGTAAATGTACATTACATTTCATTTTATATTAAATAGTTTTATAAGATTTCTTTTATTCTAAACACTTTTCATTGTAAAATTTATATTATTTTTATTTTAAACTTATATTACAATATTATATCTTCTCATAATCATGTTTACAGGTATCAAAAAATGTTAACTATCTGATGCAAGTGGCATTTATGAGAACATTGAAATTTAAAACTGCCACAGTTAAACCAGATCCGTATCCTTATTGGAATAAGTCATGCCTCAAACCAGACAAGATTATTGATATGACATCTCTCGCATACGATGAAAATACAAAATTAATCGTTGTAGATGGTCCTCCCGCAGTAGGCAAAACCAAATTCTGCGAAGATTTAGCGAAAGAATTTGGATTACTATATATGCCACCACCAACATTCGATCAGATGTATATAAATTATTATGGATTTGATGTTCGCAATATAAATCCAGATTTGCCAGAAGCATGGCAGTTCCGTGATCTGACAGATTTCCTAAAAGATCCCAGTCATATAGGAACAGCTCGTATCCAATTGGGATATTTTTTAATGAGATACGAACAATGCATGAACGCAATAATTCATATATTGTCAACTGGACAAGGTGTAATTCTCAATCGATCCATTTTTACAGATTTCGGTTTTATACATGCCATGTATAATTTTGGGTATATACAAGAAAATAGCCTGAAAATATTTGAAGAGCTCAGAAACGAAGCAACAAAACAGTTGCTGGCGCCACATTTAGTCATATATTTGGAAGCAACTCCAGAAACTACTCTAGTAAGTTCTATTGTTTTTCAATTTCAATGTCGATTAATATTAATGTTAATTTACTGATTGAACTCGTTGCAGGAAAGAATTAAAAAACGAGGTAATTTGGATGAAATTAATTCAAAAATTTTCACAAAGAAATATTTATCAGATCTGGATAATGGGGTGAAGGAGAAATGTTTCTCCTGGCTAACAGAACGCTCAGAAATATTAGTCTACGATTGGAACAAAGGGGGCAATGTTAAAGACGTAGCGGACGATATAGAAAACTTAGATTTAGAGGAATCTGAGGTGAAAACTAAATTCAATAATTGGATATTTCGAGATGGTCATCATTTGAATGACGTGCTGTATTCATATCAGATGAAATGGGACTTATTTGTAAATATAGATGATATTATTGTAAACAGATATGCTAAAGAATTTCTGCTCCCGAGTGAAGCAGAGGAGAAAATACAAGATATATTTAACGAAGTAAGTATAATTATATTACTTGTATGTATGTTGCGTGCAAAAATTGTAAAAATTTGTAAAAATTTAATGTAATATTTCAGAACGATACTGAAAAGTATCAGTACGAGTATAATCCAAAGTACCAGAGTATTCCATGGTTTACAAAAGAAAAAACTATGGTATTTAGTTTGTATCGTCGTACGCCTCGTGATTTTGTAAATTGTAGTTTATTTAAACTGGCCATACCAGATAAAACTAATTTGTAATAATTTTAATGTCAAAATAAATCATGCTAGTAATAAAAGAAGTTAAGTCAACTTTATCATGAAACAAATATGTTGAAAATATAAATATATTTTTAAAATTACATGAGATATATATAATTACTTACATATGTACGCAGGCATCACATTAAATAATACACTTTAGCTATATATCTACATATTATATTCATTTAAATACATACACACACACATATAGAGAGAGAGAGAAATAAATTAGAATTTTGATTATCTGTAAAATTTATACAATTCATACAAATAAGTTGATTTACACAAAGATCATCGAGTAATGTACAAATATATGAAATTGAACTTTATCTGCATCACTTTGTTAAGTCATAACATCATTATTCACAACATCATAATTTATTGTTTCATTAATATGAAATTAATTTAATTTTACAAAATTATATTACAAATAAAAATTAAGATAACTGTTTACAAAAATGTATGCATTTTGTAATAACTCACCTCTTAAATAAATTTAAAAGTTGGATTTATATTTTCTATTTATATTTAACAGCAAAATGTTCATTTTAATTTTATATCTCATTTTCGTTTTGTCGATGTATAAATAAAATAAAAGTCGGAATGTATTTCCATACACAAAACTGTACTAAGACCAAAGTCTTTTATAAAAGGAACTGACAAAAAAGAAAAAAAATTTAAACAAACATCAGTTGAATCCGGCAGTAGCTTAGTACGCAATTCAAGTGCATTAATACACCTTATATACAAAGAGTTTGTACACAAAATATCGAATTTCGCTACATATAGAATTTACACATTATCTATTTTAATAAAACCTGTATATAATACTAATTCCTTTGCACTTTGTATTAATATTATAAAATTACGAGGATATTCATTGAAACAGGTCAGTATAACTTTCATGATAAAAGGGTTTTAAGGAGCTAAACTGCAACATGAGTTAGTTTTACGCGCAGTTTTGTAAAACGCTTTCGACTGAGCACTCAGACCTTGCGATTTGGAGACCAATTCATCCAAATTCTCACCTCTTTTAAGAACAGCTTCCAGTGTATTGTGCTACAAAGTATGTAAGACAATCTGATTAATCTAAATGATTAATCTAAATGATATCTCTTTACCATGGCTTCCAAAACATTTATACTTACTAAAATAATTTTTGTCTCGTCCAAGTCATTTTGCATTTTAGTAAGAGCGTCTGCTTCATTGGGATTCTGATACTTTGCCAAGTACATGTTGATCTGTGCAAAATCAGTCATGGCTTCGCTCAATGTTTCCCACATAGACTGAGGATACTTAGCTGCAAATTCATCCATAACTTTTGTAATTAACGTGTGCGCCACTCTTCTAGGATATTCATGATCTGATATAAGCACTGAGGCCAAATTGTCTGCTCGTACAAATACGTGACACATATAATCTACAAAACAATTGCAATTTGACAATTAAAGGTAATGAAACGATTTTATGTGCCTTCATATGGTATTACCTCCTTCCTTCACGCTCTGCCTGAAACAGCTTTGAGTTCGTTCCACAATGGTCTTGCTTATGAACGTCATAAACTCTTTGACGCTTCCCCTTTGGAAAAACGAGAATGACTCCACATCGTAGGCAGCTTTCAACGTTGTCGCTGACGTTGGATTTTTATACAAAACCGACAACGCATATAGCTTTACCATCTTTTGGCTATAGAAATAAACAACTGATCAATATCTTTTTTTTTTAACAAAATCTAATGTTTGTATTAATATATGCAGTTCTATATAGAATTATTAAGATATTGTTCACATGAAAAAATATTATTTATTGAGATTTTTCAAACTACTTCAGGCAAAAATATTTCCATTGATTCCAACCTTGAAACTTGTCGAGACTTACCACGAATAACGTACAATTTTGCCAGAATTCTTGTTCAACGTATAAAACGTAACAGACCCAGGTTCGCTAACAAGTTTTTGTTCATTCCTAATAAAAACTCGATAATGCCACTTCACGTTCTAGTTTCACGTACAATTACACCTACTTTGATATTAGGGACGTGAACGCCGCCATGTTCCTCTCATCTGAATTGCGATTCTCAATCGATTTCAATTCTATCATCGATTTTTCTTCCAATGTTGTCCCGTGTATAGTTCGATTTATGTAACAAATAATTGTACAAAATGTACAGTGACTCCTACAATACGTGTAGAATGATTTAAAATTCTAATCACGTTTGATCCTTTTTTTTCAACCTGTGAGTTCAAATTGCATGACGTTGTAATGTCGTGAAGTACGTCCGCAATGGTTTATTTTTATTATTGTGGGTTTACACTGGATACAATAAATCACAGTTTCCCGCGAAAAAAATGCGACAGCTTGGTTGGTAGCCATGACAGCACATTGCTTTGCACTGTCCACACTCATCGATCGTTCTCTTTTGAGAAGCTCTAGCAATATTTTTAATGATACCGTTCTCGAAATTTCGTGTAAATAACACGTTACATTTACGTAAACGTTACATTCTTGTTTAATTGCCGATCAAGCAAATATAAATATGACTACTGCACTGTACCTGGAGCATTACTTAGACAGTAAGTGTTCGATCCATTCCTGATTTAATGTTAAGCAAAACTACACATCTGTACCGTTCTATCAAACATAGTGATTAATTGAAATTATATGTCATTTACACAGCACAGTATATTCGCAACACTATAATTTATTATTTTTCAATCAATTAAAATAATACGATGTAATACGAAATAATACGAAATAATACGAAATAATCAAATAATCAAATAATTTGATTTTACAAGATGAAAACGAATGAAAATATTTATATAAGTTACTTACAATAACTTATTCTCTGAATGAACTTAAAGATTATAATTTACTAGGAATTCAATTGAATCTGATGTTAGTCTGAGTCACTGAGAATAAATCTAACTATTTGTCAAATTTTATATAACAACTTGTATGTAATTTTGTGCGTAATAACGTGAATAAACTTAAAAATTAAAACATACCAAGAATTCAATTCAATTTGTTATCAGTCTGAGTCACTGAAGATAAGCATAATTACCTTTCAAATTTTGTTTCATCAGGTTTAGAGCATTTACCTATTGAACTACAAAGGAATTTTACTTTGATGAGGGACCTTGATGCCAGAGCCCAAGGATTGATGAAAGACATAGACAAATTGGCCGATGATTACTTGAAAAATCTGAAGAAGGAATCACCAGAAAAAAAGAAGGAACAGTTGACCCACATTCAAAATTTGTTCAATAAGGCAAAAGAGTATGGTGACGACAAGGTACAATTGGCAATACAAACATACGAACTGGTGGATAAACACATTAGGAGGTTAGACTCGGATTTGGCTAGATTTGAAGCTGAAATTCAAGACAAGGCATTGAACAGCAGTAGAGCTCAAGAGGAGAGCAATGCTAGTAAAAAGGGTAGAAAAAAATTAAAGGAAAAGGAGAAACGAAAGAAGGGTGTTGCAGGTACAAATAGCGAAGACGAGTCGAAAACAGCTAGGAAAAAACAGAAGAAAGGTAAAATTTGTTTTTTATCTATTCTAAAATTCGTGATTTATCTATGGCCGTGGAAAGATTGTAATTCATTAAGTGTAATGCCAAGCAGGATCTGTTGCCTCTGTTTCATCAGCCGGGGCTGTTGGTAGTGGCGCTCAAGTAGAGTCCACTGCACTCGGTCATCCGGCAGATGTTTTAGACATGCCAGTAGATCCTAACGAACCAACCTATTGCCTGTGTCACCAAGTCTCTTATGGAGAAATGATCGGTTGTGATAATCCAGACGTGAGTGTATATTTTTAAAATGCCTCTTAAATGTTTAACGACCTTTTAGTAATATTTTCCTTTGACATAGTGCCCCATAGAATGGTTCCACTTTGCGTGCGTTGGATTGACTACAAAACCTAAAGGGAAATGGTATTGCCCAAAGTGTACACAAGATAGGAAGAAAAAGTAAGTTCTAGAAAATGGATAGATGTTCTCGTTTATTTTAAAACGGAAGGAGAAATTCCTGAATCGTTTCTAAAATTAGAACACGATGTTTTTCATAGTTTAACATAAAAAAAAAATTGTATCATAAAATTATAGAAAACAAATGGGAAATTGTAAAAAATGAAAAAGAGGACAAAGAAAGTATTAAATAACTCGGTTTATGTTGCATCTGATATTGCTAAAAAAAATAATTCTTTCTTTTTATCTATTTTTTCCCATGGAAATGGATGTCTAGTTCTACTTTAAATACGATTCAAATCTTACAAATTTCACGAAATTTCAATGTTACGCTGATTAATTTTTGTAACATTGTAATGTAATTTTCACGCAATATAAGATGTAATGAAAATGCGATCAATTAAGCGATAAAGTATTTTCTATTTCTCTTTCTAGATATATATGAAGTAGTAATTTATTATGAATTGTTCTCAAATATCTGTGATTCGCTCAATCATATTAACTCATTATATAAGTATTGTATCAAAGTAAAAAAATTATACTACTGTTTTTATATTTTATAAATGTAAATGATGATGTATAGAGAGATAATGAAAATAATTTCTTTTGTTGAAATAAAATATGTAAAATTGAATTTGATATATTATATAACATATTTATTATAATATATAAATATAATGTATATATTATATATGTTTTATATATATATAATGTATGTATTATATAATATTATACGATATAATTATATAGTAATTGTGACAAAAATATATTTGATTTATAAAAATGATTTTCTAATTTCTATTTCTACTGTATTCAAACATATATGCAAAAAATCTTAACTTATTCATTACAAAAAGAGCATTAACATGAAATGCACTTTAATACGATAATATTCATTTATTGGTATTTCTCACTTAACTAACTGTGAAAACTATAAAGCGTTGCTTAAATAGAATTATTACAGACATGTTGAATATATAAATAAAAAATTCATAAAGATATTTACCACCAACAAATTTAGTTGGTAAAATATAAGTATACTTTTAAAATAAGTGATGACTAGAATATCAAATATATGAAAAAAAGAAAAAAAAGAAGTTTGGTTTGCTATGGAATATCCGATTGTAGATTGCAACATTGACTAGGTGGAACTGTCCAATTGTATTGATAGCTCAAACGATTTCTTATTTCTTTTACGCATAATGCTCCAGATGCTTGATAATACTCGTGCATGTTTTTCATGTTTTCAATGGTCTGTTTGTGTGTAACTATATACTGATTGGAACATCCACGCGATCTGTACTCAGTATCGAAACGTACGTCATGTTTTCGTTCGATGTTTGCCAGGGGTGCTATCCAAAGACCAACAGACACATCCTCTGCTTTATACAATCTGAAAACATGGTAAGAGCCATTAGACATAATGCTCGATGACAATTCATTTTTATTATCCTATTGACATACTTTAAAATGTCTGCATTCATAGCAATGAACTTTACTAAATTATAAGACAAGATATATCCCCCTCCAAGTGCGTAAGGGAGATAATAGTCGCACAGTATCCAATCTGTCTCTTTCCATGGCCCACTTCTTTTCACTTGTGCCTTTCCATTAAAAAATCCCCAATACAGTTCCTTCCTTGTCCCTTTGCTGTCCCATTTGTCTAGCTCCTTTAAAATCTTGTGCACCAGAGCAAATGTATCGTCGTCACATTTCATCAGGAAATCAAATTCATAAAATCCATGGATTTCATTAAGTGCATACAAAAGTTTCTTTGTCAGTGTCCCATAAGAATCTGGCAGTCTTGATAACAATAATAAGTCATCAAACTTCTGCTTCTCGGACTGCAAGGTTTCTCTTTGTTCCTGTTGTAGATTTGATGTTCCCACTACGAAGAAATGCTTGACTGTGGCTTGCTTTTGGGCTAGCCATGTTTTTCTGATAGTTGCTCTTCGTTCTAGATTATCCGGACTAGAGAATACGAGTATTATGAGCCTGACTTTCGGCTTGTTCCTTGCCTCTTGCTCGTTGGGAGAACACCGTGTAAAAGGCAAATAATGTATACATAAGAAAACAATTAACAGTATGATCAGTAGAGTTGGGATGTTTAATTTCATGTGTAATTTTTTCCTGATCATCATGAAGATACTTTTTGAGGAAGGTTTCATCGGTAAAATCATCACGGAATTCATCATCAGTAAACACATTTATATTCGCATTCTTAACCTCTCGAATACTATCTTCTCACGTGCAACACTCGATAACTCGACATTTTTCTTAGATGCTTAACCTTTAAATCGTCGCGATCGATTACGTAAGCATTTTTCGAAAAAGAAATCTTACTTCTTTTTATATTAACATTCAAATAAATTTTATGCGAAAAATTGACAACGGGAAACCTAACTTTATTGACAAACAGAATCAGCTGTTCTACTTACTTTCTAACTTTAACCAATTACCCCCACTTTTATTATTATCAAAATCTTCAGATCACCAAACCGAGATAATTAAGAACGTAATCGAATTAATATAAACAACACGCAAAATATAAAATAATATTTCTTTATTGTCCACAAAAATTTTATCCGATATAAATATAAAGTACTTATAAAAAGTATATTACTGTTTGCACATGTTTACTTATAATCTAAGATACAACTTATTAGTTATAAATTAATATAATCGCATATATCATTATTTTGATAGAAATGTAATTTATTATTGAACTAAGAATCCACTTAGTAAATAGCCCCCAGTGTCACTAGTTAAAATATCAGGATGCGTTCTATCTGGCAATACCTGATATGAACGCAAGAAGTTGGAGAAAAGTCTCAGATTAATAACATTCTGCTTTTGTTTTAACGTTATGTAAGTTTCTTGCAATGGCTCTCGATGTGTGTGATAAATTACAAACGGTCTAGAGAATCCCAGAAAAGGTAGAAGAGCTGTGATGATATTCAAAGGGTGCTCTTTAGCCACAATCAGCAATCCTCGAGCTTTAGAATCTTTAACAAGTTCCACTGCATACTGTGTCTCCATTAACCACTTTGGTTTCTTTACAACAGTGACTTTGGCAGGTTCAATTTCATCTCGTTTACGTTTCAAACTACCATTTGTGCTATGTTCAACCTTATTATTTGACTCATTGATATTATTTAAGTTTTCCTCTTTCATGTCTGTTTCTTCAATTTGTGGGATTTCATTATTTACTAGATTCTCATCATCGTTTTTACCTTCATCTTCTTTTATCTTATTTATACAATTGTTATGAACTTTCTTGGAGATTTTATCTAACACAACACTCTCACCTTGATAATACAATCTCAAAAAACTGTAAATGTTAACATTAATTAATCTGTCTAATTGTTCTCTTGGGAAATTCATGGCATTGACAAGTGCAAGCTGAGGGACATTCCCAGGGTGCAAATTAATTAAATGTCCCTCTGTATTCGAACCAATTCTGTTCAACATTGCAGCTGCAGGCATACCATGCGAACCACTGTCGTATAACATGTACAAACCATCTGATTGAACGTCACTGTATGACAACAACTGTGACAAAGAGTCCATTCTTAAGTTTCCAATTTTGTTGTGATCCAACTGAAAGTACACGTCGTGCAATAAGCTTATATTAGGTTTCCATATTGTTATATATCTGAGATATTTCTGCTCCTTCTTTTTCAAATACTTCTCCTGCGAATATTCAGTTCTATCCAGGAAAGACTTATTGTTCTCGATCAAACTACCCACTATTTCTTTACCAGTCTTGCCAGATTCTTGAAGGCAAAGTATTTCCTCCTTGGAAAGCTTCTGTGATGTGCCATCATCTACAATGGAACGATTGTCATTACCACTTGGTAATTCACTTAATAAATCGTTCAACGACTCGGTTTCTGATACTTCTTTTAAGAAATATGTTCGTTTCCCTTGTTTCATTGGGATCATCTCGAAGGTGGTCCAGAAAGGTTTGCCAATAATCTCGTGCATTTGCACTGTGTCTCTCCCCAACGTCAAGGTACCATTTGTAGCTACCTTATAAATCTTTTTAAAGTTCTGTTTTTTTATAATCACGTATTTTCCCACAGTGATTATATCGTCTTCGTTTTCGCACATGTTTGTCAATCCCCGGTTTCCTCTCGAGATACACTGTTCTTTTCAAATTCGATATCTCTGCAGTATAGGTTATGATTGGTGTGACTAATTCTTTGATATAAATTCACGTAAATTACGTGCGATACTTTTCGTGATATCTTTATCTTTACGCAATTCCGCAATTTCTGTTTCAGAATACTGCGGCTGTTTGAATATGATTTCAACCTAACCTAAGAACGCTGTTGTTGAATAACCATCGCATTGATGATGCTTACACCGTCTGTCGCTAGAGGTTATTAAAGTTGCATCAAGAGAAAGACATTGATAATTTCATTTTTCTTTCTTTATTGTACGTTTTACCATCAGTCTTTGATTTTTGTGTGTACAGCAACCACATTTCCTATTATAATATTTTAATGTATGTTGTTACAGTTGTTCAGCAAAAGGAATGTTCCCTTATAAGGAATTTCAAGCAGTTGTGCTTGCTGCTGGAGGAGGATCCCGCATGACTGAGCTTACTCGTGGCCAATATAAATGTTTGTTACCAATTGGAAATCTACCAATGCTTTGGTATCCCCTTCAACTGTTGGAACGGGTTGGCTTCAAAGAAGCTATTGTTATTATAGCTGAATCTATGGAACGAAATGTTTCTTTAGCCCTGAATGATTTGAATCTTAAAATTAAGACGGACATTGTTGCTGTGAAAAATGCAGAAGATTTAGGAACTGCAGATTCCATCAGGCTTATTCACGAAAAGATTTACACAGATTTTTTGGTGATCTCTTGTGACTTGATTACAGACGTGGATATACGTGAAATTTTGAATCTTTATAGGAAACATAATGCTAGTATCACAGCATTAATGTTACCTACTCCTAAAATACCAGATGACTTTACAACACCAGGCCCGAAAAACAAACAAAAGCCTGAAATCGACTTAATTGGCATTTGTAATGAGACTGGGCGTTTAATTTTCTTAGCATCTGCTTCAGATTTTGAAGAAACAATAGAAATTTCACAACCATTTCTTAAGAAATATCCAAGTTTTACTATGCATTCTAGATTAATGGATTCTCATTTGTATGTCATTAATAAATGGGTTTTGAATTTTCTAGTGCAAAATAAGTAAGTAAAACTGCAAAAAGACTGTTAACAATGTAATTTTTTCTTAATAATTTAACATTTTTCTTTTTTTTTTAGAAATTTTACTACATTAAAGGGTGAACTCCTGCCATATATTGTTAAGAAACAATTTTCAAAACCTCCCAAGCAATATGTGGATGATAAAAATACCTCTATAGTACAAACAAATTCAAAGGATGCTGTCTACCATTTCGCAGTTGAGAAATCACTCGACGAATTAATCAGAAAAATGTCAGCATACAACGATCATGACACTGATTTAGAAGATACATATCATGGAGATATAATACGGTGTTATGCTTACGTTGGTGATGAAAAATTTGGTTTGAGGGCAAATACTATACAAATGTATCACCTCGCTAATACAAAGGTGAAAATGAATACAATGTATTTGAATTAATAATTTTATTTCAACCATTAATATTAATGGAATCAACATTCTAGATATCAGAATGGTGGAATAATGACAACAATGAACAGTCTTCTGTACCAATTATTGCTCCTACAGCAACGATACGTAGCACACAAATACAAGATTGTCGAGTGGACAACAATGCTCTTATTGATGAAAAAACATCTCTTAAACATACTTATATTGGACCACATGTTACTATCGAATCGAAGACCACAATATCACAGAGTATTTTAATGGAATCCGCAATTGTCAAGCAACGGTATTACATCTGTTATGCTTGAATTTTGTATTGAGTTGAATTTTATATTCAAGAATCAGTTATAAAGATAATATTTGTCATTATTCATTGCAGATGCATAATACAGAATTGCATATTAGGCAGTGGTTGTATCATCGAAGAAGGTGCTGAATTGAAGGACTGTATAGTTGGCTATAAACAAGTTGTACCACCTGGAAGTCAATATTCTCGCGAAGTTCTTACTGATGCAAATGACTTGATATTTTATGAGTAATTTAATATATTGAATAAATATATTTGTCTTTATAAAGTTAGTTTATTACTATAATAATATTTTTCCGGAATGGTATAAATGTTTTTTAATATAACACAAATTTAAATAAATTAAATAATTAAATTAAATAAATAAATCATAATTGTTATATAGTATATATATAATAGTATATATTGTTATATAGTAAAAGTTCGTCGCCTTTTATACGGTGAGTTTCTAGCTATAGTTACATAGAAATACAAATTTTTGTGTAAAAGTATTTTCTAATGAGAACCACTGCCATCGCGAGTTTAGCGCACTTAATGCAACCTTCTTTCTTACGTCGTTTCTCCGTGTAAAATGGTGAGTATGCCACATCTTTTAAATCTAAATATTCTAAAGCGATCGTAAATGTTATTCATTTGGGAAATACTTCAAATTTCTTTTTATTATATCTAAAAATATTTAAAAATCGTAGTTTTGATATATGTTTCTCAAATCAGTACGGTATAAATGTTAGATGATGATTGAGGTTACACATAGGAATGTTTATGACTTAACGTTAGATTTCAGTTTTTCAACGTAAGTTTAATTAAAAAGATTCTTTATTATCACAACAAAAGTTAGTATGAAGCTAGTAATGATATATGTATTTCAGAAACGTATTAATATTTTTAATGGATTGAGGTTATGTTTACTAAAAATTTGTAAAATCCAATCCAAATTACAAAGTAGCGATGAACTATGATTAATGTTATTGATTTTTATAGACAAAGGGTACATCAAGTTTTGGTAAGCGGCGGAATAAAACGCATACATTGTGTAGGCGTTGTGGCCGCAGCTCCTACCACATCCAAAAATCGCAATGTGCTCAATGTGGATACCCACAGAAGAAAATGCGATCATGTAGGAATTTTATATTTACAAACGATACTAATAGTTAATTTAAAAATATTCTGTACGAATTATCAAGAAATTGCTTTCTAACTGTTATGTTTGCTTTATTTCAGATAATTGGTCTATAAAAGCAAAAAGGAGGAAGACCACGGGAACAGGACGACTACGCTATCTAAAAATCGTCCGTCGTAAATTCAAGTAAGTTTAAGCATAAAACTAACAGCAAATAAATTATTAGTTTTGAATAATTGAGAAACAATCATTGTCTTTTTTGCATTTCTTTTTCAGGAATGGATTTAGGGAAGGTTTGCCAAAACCTAAATCAGTTCAAACTAAATAAATCTAAATAATTCTTGTAACATTTCTTGTAATAAATAATCTAAAATGTCTATTAATTATACATTAATGCATAAATTCCGTTTTAGATTGTAATGAAAAGCAATTGCAATTAAGTATCATAATGTTCTTAAACTTTACTTTGAAATAAGTTACTTTAGCTATTTTTTATAGTTTTTAATGAATAATGTCTAGAAATATCGGTTTTGAGATACGAAAATTATTTAAAAAGTTATGCATAACTAGCACATAACTTGCACGCTATGTAGATGTTCAGCGATACTAATTTTGCTCATCCAGTTTTCTACAAAGTGCTAATTTGCTTATATTTATCTGAACATTTATGTATAATTGTACATATTTACGTAATTTGTACAATATGCATAAATTTTTAAAATCTTTCTTTTTTGAATTCTACTGTCGCATGTTATAGGGAGAACTTGTAAATTTCAGCCAAAAATGTAATCTTTTCCAAATGGAAGATTACAAGTATAAAATATTAAATGGTGGGGGCAGAAGATGCACCGCGCAGGCGCGGCGCAACTTTCGATTGCATTCCGTCTTATAATAATCGCGATTTCGCAAATTTCTATTCAGTAACGCGTAGATTTATATTGCAAACTGCTAACTTACATCTATTTTTAAAATCTGCGTGAAAGATATCCGATCTTTTAGTCGAAACCGGTATGTTATCGGGCCACATCCGACCGCGATTTTGTCTTCATAAACATCAACGAATCAAAATCTCTATGATTATCCAACGTTGTTCAAGAAAGTAAAAAAAGGATTTAAAGAAGCTAATACTTTAAATAAAATACGAGAAGTACGATTTTCTTAATATATCATAAATTAACATAAAAAGTAACTACTTGATAGAATCTAAGCTCAACACACAAATGACTGTTTGGGGCAAATTGTTCGGTAAGTATCGCAAATATTTGAATATCTTGAAATTTCTAAGTGATCAGAAAATCTCGAAATTGATCTTCAAGTTTCAATTAATAAGCACGCATATGAAAATTTTAGGCAAGTATCTTTTGGTGACTAATACTGTGAGCTGTGGTTTAATGATGGCTGCAGGAGACGTTATTCAACAACGTAATGATTATTTAAGGAAGTACAATGTACCTACTGGTACATATGTGATGGCAGCATCCCCAAATGCAGAACGAAAGTTTCATAACTCAAGAAATTCTGACGATTATATACACGATTACGAGCGAACTAAAAACATGACCATTGTGGGTCTGCTTCAAGGTCCTTTTCATCACTGGTTTTATATGATATTGGACAGGCTGATCCCCGGGAAAACCGCACTGTCTGTTATCAAGAAGACCTGTCTAGACCAGAGTATAGCCAGTCCAACCTGTCTAGGAATATTTTTCGTCGGCCTTGGCCTTTTAGAACATCACAATATAGAAGAGATCCGCGAGGAAATGAGACTGAAATTATACGATACGTGGAAGGTATATATGCTCATATATTATTATATTCTTAATGACACAATCGAACTATATTTGCAAATTCATTTTTGTTCTATTTGTGTTCAGGTCGACTGTTGCTTTTGGCCTCCAACGCAGTGCATAAATTTTTTATTCGTACCTCTTCATTATAGGGTGCTCTACATCAATTTTATGACAATGATTTATGATATTTTTCTATCATACATGAAATATGTAAGTTTCGATCAGTTTTAATTTTGTAATAAGTTTTCCCGTTAAAAAAATATATTAAATTCATTTGTTACTTTCTCTGTTGTAGGACGCGCAGTATGAATGACGACAAAACCTTAAAACTAGTCTGTTGTACAAATAATTATATTTTTCTAGGTGATCATCTGTAACTTCTAATATCTTTGTGAGTATACATTACATAGAATGTACCATAATCAACGTGAAAAAATATTATCAGAAATAAAGAAGCTCCTGTTTTTGTACGAAAAGAAAATATCGTCCATAAGTTTAAAATCCTACTATCGCAAATTGGAATTAGATGGTGATAATAACGGATGGAAATTGAAAAATTAACGCACACGCTTAAAACATTCCGTTACGCTTGTTTAATCGATGAGATTTACATTGGCGTCTCGGAGGTTTTGAAATTTTCACTCCCTCAACTCCGAATGGCGTTTATCAATATTATCAATGTGCAATTGTCTGATGCATCTTAGAGGAATTTTTATTCTGTTTCCTTATCGTCCGTAACAACAGTCCATCAGATGCAACATGTTTATTAGAGTGACAACTTCTGTTTGTCAATTGGCGACAATGGGATTACAAAGTCTCCTAAGCCGTCGGTCGCCAGTAAGCAAACACCCATCATTGATGTGAAAATACAAATAATAAACTGAGCAAACAATAAACAAAACTGACAAACAGACGCGTCGATGCATTTGCACAAAAATTGAAGAGACATTACAGAATAAAGAATTTTCTTTGTAATCAACTTTTGTAGGTGAAACTTAACCGAAGCAATGAGAGAAATATCTTTGTCATGTAAGTTTCATATTTAATTTCTCCCTGTTAATATATTAATTTCATCGAACTTCCTAGTGAATTGGATACTGCTAAAAAACTACTATAAAAAATATTTCAATAAGAGGATATTGATAGATAAAAATTTCAAGAATTCGCATAATGATAGATTTAATTGAACGATAGACTTAATCAAAATTCGATCTACTGATAATTCAAAGTAATCTGTCGTTCCCTTATCAGCTTTTAAATCTGATCAATTCTATTAGTTCATCTATTGGCATAAGTTAAAGGTCATATTTATCTTTATATAAAAAAAGAAACAAATTTGAAAATGTATTTCTGTCGAAATGACATTCAAATATCTACATCTGTATTTCACAGTTACGATGAAAATATAAAAATAGATAACAAAAAGATGTTAAAACATACGCAACAAAAAATGAGTAAATGTTTGTTTACAATTAAATGTTACGATCCGTGATTGAACTGTTTGCGAAATGGAGGGAGATCCAAAACTCGAGCAGTGCCAAGAAGCATCAGAGCTGAAAGAATTTTGCAAAAACTTTATATTAAATAGAAACTGAAACTTATCGCTCATGAAAGGATTTGAACACTTATGGAAAATTCTTGAACATTTAAGAACTTAATTAAATCTATAATGAAACATTGGTTACTATTTACGTTTAAAACAAATTAGAAAAAAAAATATATATATATAGAGGCTACAAGATACTTATTGCAAATAGTTATACAATAGTCATGCCTCATTACAATGCCAAAATGAAATTTCTAAGTGTACAATAAGTGTACGAATATTTTTATGAGCCATGTTTACGTGTTTTACAACGATGAATGAAAAGTATGTATTTCCACGTAAAATAATCTCCGAAATTCACTTATCGATTAAATCTTTTTTATCAAAAAAACTGAACAGATAACACCTTAGTTGAAAATAATAAAAAAATATCGTCTTTACTAATTGCCAAAAGATTTCTAACAGTAATTTAAATTTTAAGTGAAAGGTAAATGTGCGCAAGTTTATTTACGTGGATTATTTATCTGTCGAAATGGGGGAGACATAAAATCACTCATTCTTTAGTAATTTAAAAAACAAAATGTATAAGCATGTAAAAGGAACTCGACAAATTACCGGCTCCGATAGTGTACATCGTCGTCTTTCCAATCAGTTTTGGAAATTTTCTTGAATGATATGCAATATATAAGCCGGAGCCAATGAGACCGCAACCACTGAAAATTCTACAGCCCAAGCAGTCACGATCTCGATTGTTAATTATGCTTTTTACTGTAGGTGTTTCTTGCATTTTTCACTTTACAACGATATGATAAAGAACACTTGAAACTTATGCGAATAAACGTTTTCGAAACAATTGGTTTTTACATTTAAATAGGTTAGGTTTTGTATCTGAATAGGTTTAGGTTAGGTTTGATGTTTAAATTACCACATTCGCAATATATCAAAATAGGATCGAATTTGAGTTCATATTAAATATTTTTGCTATAAATATATATAAATGACATATCATTGTTTATGTTCAAATAATAAAAATTTAATAAAACGTAGATTCAATTCAGATCATTAGATTGATCAGATTAATTTGCTAAAGTCGATGTTATAAATGAAACATAACCTAATCTTTGTAAACACAATAAATACAAAATAAATTGATTAAATGATTTCAAAAAACACATAAGTGCAATTCACTGATTATTCCTCCAATTATCATCGTTATTATTTTATTATATTTTTTAATTACATTTACGTATACAAAATTTAAATCAGTCAATTTTCCCGCAATTTTGTAATAACATTGTTTTGATCACTTATTGAGAAAAAAGAAAAATAAATAAAATTTCGGAAGGTGTAAAAATTGTAAGAATTTCGCCAAGTTTTATTTTTTTTCTTTTTTTGTTACTAATTACTCTATGAGCTTTTTCGCTTTGAAGAAACGTCTTAGATAAAGGATTTGCAAAATTGACAGAACTAAAAGCCAACACATGGAGAATATACTGAAGTAGAGTACTCGTGTATTTGTCGCTTCTGAAAGTTTGAAGAAATCAATGGGATTATCTTTTAAATTATACTGGATAATAGAACAAGAATTATACTATATTTTATAATACCATTTGTATCTCTCATTTCTTCTTCGTTTCTTCTCATTCGAGCAAAGTCTTGGACTATAGCCTCAGAGAGATCTTCAAGACGTTTTAATTCAACTTCGGAAGGTTTAAGTTTTGCTGCTTCGCCAATCTTAAATAAAGATAGTTCGTTAATTAACTGTTCACCTTGCTGTTCACCACACTTCTCAATTTCAAAATTAGTATTAGATAAACTCAAAATTCTAACGCAGACTAATATAATTAAAAACCTGTGGCACTTCAACTCTATGAATTTTATTAAATTGTTAATTTTTTATTCCAAATACTCCTTTAAAAAAAAAAGTTCTGCTAATTAATCCATGCTAAAATCCATGCCGTTAAAAGTCATACGGGTGATTTTTGACAAAATCAATTTGACTACATTACCAACTGTATACCCGTACAAGCCATATATAAAACAAAAGAAAGGTACAAAACATTGTGAGTATTTCTTTCTGAAACTTTTTTTTTTAATGATAGTAAATATTGACAATTTTTAAAATGCACGAAGAAAATACTGTTTAGAGAAAGTGCTTAGAAAGAAAAAGAAAGAAAACAAAATTTCTTTTAGATTTAGAACATTTTCTCTAGCAAAATTAAATATTGTAAATTTCCATTGAATATTTGATAGACACTATATAGAGAATGAAAGAGAATTACTACACAGCAATGAATTTAAAATTAAATTCAATAATAAAATGTTTGAAACAAAATCATTCAAAAAACTTACTCCTTCATAATTCTTCGCTTCAATTCCACGCTTTGTAATTAAATGAATCTCTTGCTTGATCTGTTTGATATCTGAAATACATTATTGTGTTTATAAAATAAAAAACAAAAAAAGATATATCTTACAATTGCAAATTATTTCTTATTATATACAAATGTATATTTGTATGTTATAATATATATTTATATTGCATATTCATATAATTAATATACATACTGCCTGAAAAAGATGGTTGTATGGCATGAGCCGTGAAGCAAATTTCAAATGTATCGTATGTCTCCGTGTGAAATAAGAACTTGGACATTTTTCCATGAACAATATCATCTTTTTTGGCTAAAATATCGCCTTTAGAATCCCTTATCTGTAAAATTACCAAAAACTTATTAAGTTATTTGTTCTAAGTTCTCTGTTCTAAGTTCTTAATTAAAAGCCAAAAAACAACATGAAGTGTAAGACTAAAAACTATATATGCCATAAGCCAGAATTTTGAGAATATGTATTTCAACTTTTAAAAATATCATATCGTTTACTTTCTGATTAAGGAAGCTTACAAATTTACTTTATTTTTGAAATATTTGAAATAATAATTTGGAAGAATATTTGAAATAGGAGCTAGCAGTGGTCTGGCTTACAGCAATAGTCATTTCTATGTGAGAAGTTGACAACTTCGACGCATATGTATCTAGAAAGATAAATGCCACGTTATAGAGAATTGACGTAATTTACAATGTACTCGGTCTTAACAGCTGGTGTCACAGAAACTTCATATTCCCCGGCAACTGCGACATTCGCTTGAACCTCATCTTTCAAGCACTTGGCAGAGTTCGGTTCAAGGTAAAATCTGATACCGTATACGTGTACGAGCAATGTCATGAAAATGTATATTACACCTCGCATCTTTCAGAATGTTTCATCGAACTACGGCTAAGCGATCTCGATGAAAAGAGTGCTCGACGTTACAACAATCCAGCAACACATCGATGAGTTGGCACCCATTAAATATTTTGGGTCAATCACGTGACACGGTAAAAAACAAGGAGACTGCATGACGCGTTCTCATCAGATTCGTCAATCTCGGCAAAGGAAATAAAAAATTATTCAATCTGCGCGCAACACCTGTAAGAGTCATCTTTTAAATCGTCTAAATACGCATCGTTGATTTATTAAATTGAAAAAGGTAATAATTATTTTAAGGCAATTCGTAACCGACATTGAAACGAAATTCAGCCTGGTTTACAAAAGCGTTCAGAAATTTCATTGAACGTAAATTTTACATTAGCGACGTACGACGATTGTCACAATTATATTGATAAAGTTTAGGACGAATCTGATTGTGAGAGTATAGTGGAAATACTTCGAAATATTTGAAATAATTCGAAGCACGTGTGCATGATTGTGGATTGCCTTGAGCTTTCAAACTAGCAAGCGCGCCATTTGTAAACGGCGCTGAATTGAATTTGGTTTACAAGCACTGGGCAAGTGACCGTTATTTTCCAGCGTTTAATAAATTACATCTGTTTCTCGTTGTTTTCAACTTTTCTTTTTTCATGAACGGTTATTTTTTCGCAGCCGATCGGCCGCAGAGCAAGACGCATTGAATGTAAAACGATATTATGTTGTAGTATTTTTGCGTTGATTTTAGAAATGACAACCTCTTATACACTAGAAGAGATCTTGGAAAGACAATGTGAAAAGTTGCGGGATCTTGAGGCTGCGACGATTTTTATCAAAAGTGAGATAAGTCCTGCAATATAAAATTTATTATTCAATAATTTAAATATTGTTTAATGATATATAATTTATTGATTAATTATTTTAATAATTCATTTTACAAATGCGTAAATTAACTTGAAATGTACAAATTAATTTGCAATAATTAATACCACAGTTGATTTATAGTTAATCTGCAAGTAATTTGTAATTTGTTTTTATATTTAGGTAAAGATGCAATGAAAGAGGAGTTTCTTAAAATGCGCACAGCAGTGTCGCAAATGTGCAATGGCATAGAAAACATAAGGCAGACATTGAACGAAATGACTAAGCAAAATAACCAGTGTAGAGTATGTTCCTCAATTTTTTGATATTTTGAAACATCCTTAAACTTGACCTTGTATAGTTTTTTAAGTTGAACAAATCTTTTCAATTTTCTAAGAATGTTAAAAGCATTTTTTTAAATGTAAACAATTTCAGGAGTTATTATCACTCATCGAAGCTCTGGACAAAAGAATCATCCATATGGAAAGGAATATTCCATCCGAGTTGATTCATGATTATCACAAAACCAGGAGTTCCTTGGTATCGAATGTTACCTCGGAATTCATGCAAGAATCGCATGCACTGATAGATGAAAACAGAACAGAAAAACGGGGGGAGACACCAGTGAGAGACTGTAAAAAGGTATTGTTCAACGAGCCTGAAGTTTGTCCCGCGATACCTCTGATAGATCAAGATGAATTCAGTAAAATACCAAAGTACATTATTGGACGGCAATCTTTGGAAACTGTTAACAATTTTATAAATACCATCAATCAAATATTGAGGACGAAATATACATTTTTGTCACTGGGGAAAGCTCATGCTAGGAAACAGGGCGAGTTGAATCTTTATTTACATTTTAAAAAGCAAGAAATGGACATTTGCAATGACAATGGTAAGTTTTTTCTTGTTGTGTGATTGAAGTGCATGTACTTTGTTAAAAGGTAAAAATTGTTTCAGAATATATATACTTTTTCACTGGCAAAGATTACGAAAGACAAGTGAAATCCAAATTAGACAAGCTGAAATTAAATCTAATAACGGTTCTACGACATTGCAAACGATTGCGGGAGCATAGAATAAAAAACGATGTGCGATATGTAATATTAGCAAAAAAATAATCAAGTTATAATAATAAAAACATAGCAAATGAATATTCTATTGTACAGAGAGAAGGTAAAAATGTAATTTAACAATTACGTGTTATTTTTATAAGTTATATGCTATATAATATATGAATGATAATTTTGTATTATTGTAAAATATATTTTTTACTATTTTACATTTAGTAATTACTCTGTCTTATTCATCGTAAAAATAACCGAGAAATAAATGTTGAAACAATAAACGTTTCCAATGTTCGTTAACTCCGAAACTTTTTTGAGATTAGTTTTTGTTTTGGTTGTCGTGACAGCGTGTTTATCGAGAACGCTCAATTTATGAAGATTGATCTCTTCGTCGAATTGTTTTGACGACACGAAGACTCAAGTTTAGTTTGCCATGAAAGAATTTTTCCCTTTTCATTTCCAAGGAACGAGGTAATCTGCTCTGGAATAATTTCGATCGTACTCTACACTTGTGGGTACAAGATACATCGAAACTATCATTTTTTTTTTTTAATTATTTCACAGTTATCTCATTGCGGGGCAGTAATTTTGATTAACAATTTTAATTAATCACATGCACATAAATGTTCGATAATTTAATTTTAAAAATATATTTAAAAAAAAAGAAATACACGACTGAATAATTTTTTAAATTACTACATGTGGAACTGAAAGAATTGTATTTGACAAAAAATTGCAGTAGTTAAGTAGTTCGAACTAAAGTCATTTTATTTAATTTTTTTCTATTTTGTAATATTTCTCTAAAAAAACGAACGTGACTGTTAACATTAAATTTCTAGATAAAAACAATTCGTGAATTTTTAACATGAATAGTGGTGAAACGGAGTCAATTAGCACGTTGAGCGAGCACGAGGATAATCTTGATGAATTCGAGGGATCAATTGTCTGGTCCCAAGAGGAGCCGCTCTCCTCGAATGAGATTTTAGAATTAGCTCCGGACACTGATAAGCAAAACCGACTGAAATCGCTATGTCGTTTATGCGCGGGAGAGACTTTACATCCTATCTACATTTACTCTGAATTCGGCGAGTCTTTGAGGCTTTTGCACAAAATAAACACGTGTTTAAGCATTAAGGTAATCATTTATTGAATCTTCCTACTCTGCTAGAAACTGTACTAATTTCATATATTCATTTATTTATTATTTCATTCATTAATTTTCGTTTATTGTCATATATATATATATATATATGAATTTTTAAATGTATGCAACTGAATTGAACTGATAATTGAATTCTTATAAACGTTAAACACGAGCTTCCTCACAGGTGAAGAAAACTGATCCTCTCCCCAAACAACTTTGCCCAACGTGTGTTGAGAAGATCACTTGGTGCAATGAATTTGACGTTCAATGTATCAGAGCTGAGGAAACTCTTTTTGAAATTTTGAAACAGAAACACTCTTTTAGCAATGCTAAAAGTGATCCCCAAGAAAATTCTCACGAGGATGTTGATTCCTGTCCATTGTGTGTTGAAGGACGGATGAGAGTTTATAAAGAGAATAAAGAGACTGAAAAAGATGTTGAATTGTATGACAGCGACATTGTTCTTGAAAGCAGCGACGAGGAACAAATTCCCAATGAAATTAAGATTGATGAAGAACCAGAAAACGAGTCTATAACTCTGTTCTGCTTGGGCACCAAGCAGAAATATTTGAAATGCGGGGCTTGCATGAATTTGTACCACACGAAAGAAACTCTGGACGAACACAAATGTAAACCTAACTTACAGTGTACTTCTAAACCTTACAAGTGTGACATTTGTTTTGCAACTTTCACGTTCGAAGAACGGTTGCAGTTCCATCAACACTTTCATAAAGATGCAAAAGCATTGTACTGTGAAATTTGCAAGATTACATTTGGCAAGGAATTAAAATTGTTTTATCACTACAAAAGGTATTGAAAATTATCAAAAATTACCAAAATTACCATATCCAGGAATAACATATCCATTTATTTTCGTAGGTATCATTGCAAAGATGGCAGAGTATCTTGTTTGCAATGTGGAAAGCTATTTGAAAATCAAGAAGGATTGAAAAAGCATGTTTGCGTAGATGGCAAAACAAGACCTCACGTGTGCGAAGTCTGTTCCAAAGGGTTCTGTGATGGATACACTTTGAAACGTCACGTGGTAACTCACCTTCCGGAAAAGCCATACAAGTGTCCAGAATGTTCAAAGAGTTTCACACAGAAATCAAGATTGAACAAACACGTTGCTGGACACAGCATCATTTTTGAAAACAGTCAGACTATTTGGAGGTTGTATATTCGTTCTTCTCTCGTTCTTCTCATTCGGTTACAAACAATAGTTATTTTTTACAGATGTATTCGTTGCGGCGAAGCCTTCGGAAGTTGCGAATTTGCGGATGAACACTGCCAGAAACACGAAGAAAAAATTAGTCTTATAGAGGAGATGCAAATATTGAAACTGTACCATTGTGAATTCTGCAGCAGCCACTTTGCGGACATGGATCATTTGAAAACCCACAGAGAATCGCACGTTATCGAGAAACCATATTCCTGCAATCATTGTAACACTGTATTCAAGTCTTACGCAGAAGCTGTTCTTCACTGGAAAGAACATCCAAGAATATTCAAAGTGTTGGTGGTATTTTTATGCGAGATCTGCGACAGAGACGTTAAAGAATTGTCCCTGCTTTACAAGCATAAGCAGAAAAGGCACCAACCGTTACCTAGGAAATCAGAGAAGAGCAAGGAAACATACATTTGCGAACTCTGTGGAAGTATTTTTACTAGTATTGAGGATTTTCAAGAGCACGGAAAATATAGATGTTCCAAATTCCCGTGTGATATTTGTGGCAGTCTATTGCCGACTGCAAATTCTCTGAATGCTCACAAAAGAAGGCACAGCGGATTAAGACCGTATGTACTTCTTTCTCTTTCTCTCTTTCTTTCAAATTATGTATAAATCTTCAGAATCTTTTTATTCTTATAGATACGTTTGCAATATCTGTGGTAAAAGCTACACTCAGTCTAGCCACATGTGGACCCACAAAAGGTTCCACATGGGCGTGAAACCTTATGCTTGCGAATACTGTGATCAAAGATTCACAATAAAGCCAGACCTGGCGGATCACACCAGAAAGAAACATACAAGGGAAAGACCATTCAAATGTGATGTTTGCAACAAAGCTTTCCTTACTGGCTCTGTTTTCTACCAACATAGGCTAATACACAGGGGAGATCGTAGATATAAGTGTCACTACTGTGAAAAAGCATTCACCAGAACAGAAGCTTTGAATAACCATATAAAAATTCACACCGGTGAAAAGCCACACGCGTGCGACGTTTGTGGCAGACGTTTCAGACAGAAGGGGGATATGAGAAAGCACAGGCGAACGCAGCATATTGCCAAACAAGATACAAAATAGGTTAAGTTAAATATAGCAACTAGATATCTGAATATATATAAACATTTTATTGTAAACGTTTGTTACGATGAATAACGTTTATGAACGTTGTGTTGCGATTAATAAAATGTAAATAAAGTTCTCGCGATGGTACTCTATATCACAAGATATTGCGAATGACAAATATCAATTGCTTTTAAGAATTCTTTGTTCTTTAAAGGTTATGTACGAATATTTGACAATAAGAAGATAATCTTCATCTGTAAAAGGAGAAAAAGAATACAGAATGATTGATGTTGCAAAACGATTTAAGTTTGTGTTCTTTTAAAAAATAGGCGCGATAACGAATGTGAACAGGTGCGCAGATGCAACACGTACGGAACAGGTGACACGACCAATGTGTCTCGTGACTCGACACCTCGGAATCTCACGGTTTCGACAAGCTGCGATCGCTGGCTGATAAGAATTGCACACGGACAAGGTTTAATCTCAATGGAATCGAAACAATAACAGACCGCTTAACGACAAAAGTTATTTAATCAAGAACCTCTGCATACTTGACGATTCTCTTGTAAGTCAATGTTCAATTCAAGTTCTGAATTTCGATGCGAACGTTCACCGATTCTGCGAGCCAACCTGGACACGTTACAACAAAACGATGTACAACAATCAATCAGAGTTCAATTGACATTCTTAATTAATTATTTCGTCCAATATTGTCGCTCATCGTTGACGACACGTACCTAACCTCTACAAATTTGACGTATGTGTGTTATCATAATACAATGGAAATGTTTTTATCCTTTGCAAGAAAATCTTTGTTACTTTAAAATTGTAGAAAGAAAAGAAAAATAACGCGGATGTCTTTTCTCACTTTAAAAGAAGAATGTTGAGTCAGATTTGGTAAACTACATCTGGAGACAAGTGTTTTATGTAAGTTGCAAAAATATTGTATATAGCCATTTCCTTTTTCAATTACAAAAAGGAAGAGACAAACATCACTTTCTAGAAGTTCAATGAAGGATGGCATTTCCTCCACTAGTTAGTTCTACACCTCCTCCGTTGGATAGTTTTGGAGACTCCGAGGAAGACGAGTTTGGGGATTTTACAACTGGGGGTATAGATGGTAATTACGATATTCATGGAGAGAAGCTTCTTCATTGTATACTAACGTTTGCATTCTAGGATTGTCTGCGTCGTCAGACTCACCACAGAAACTTGTCACACCAGTTCAAACGCCTTCAACGTCACAGAATACTTCACCTAAAGTAAACGGTATTCCAGAGACGCCTGATAATTCTGAAACAAATGTTGCTCAAAGGCCAATGGTTGCAGAAGACCTTTTAATACTTGAGAAAATCAATGATGATGTGAATAATATTAAATTCAAGACGGAAGTGGAGACGTTGGATGAAATTATAGGGAACGATCCCAGAAAAGACTTGGAAAACATAAACAATAATAATAAGGAAGCCACTGTAGGGAAAGAAGTTTCTAATGGGATTAATTTAATTAATAAAGGCAACAGCTTTGAAGGAGAAGAGTGGGGAGCTTCGCTCAATCATTTGGAAGATATAGAGCCATTAAGTTTAGATTTGGGTGATCTGATCACTGCTCCTGACACAACACAGTCAATAGACGATGATTTTTACAATTATGAACAGTTCGAGGATTCGCCAAATTGGGTCTCTTATAATAGTATATCCACAGATATTTCAAAAGCAGATTGTTTTAAAGTTAAAGATTCTGGGCTCGCGTCGAATGACACAAACAAGGATTTAAACACTAAGAACGAAAAGGATTCGAATTTGGACTTGGAAGATATTATTGTAAAGCCAAAATTAGAGGATAAGTCTGTAGAAAACGTAGATGAGTCTAGCAAAAAAGATATCTTTTCAGACGAAGTTGATGATTTAAAGTTTGCAAGTGTTGAACATTCAGTATTTTGTAGTTCTATTGAGAAAGATAGAAGTACCAATGACTCGAAGGATGAGTTCTCTTTGAAAGTTCAAGAAGAAAACGAAGTTGCTGAAAATCTTGAGTTTTCCAACAATGAGGACGCTGAAATCAAAGATAATTTTCTATCCTCCGCGCCACTGCCAGATATTTCGAAGTGTTCGAATGAGGAATTCGGTGACTTCAAGTACGATTCTACGTTAGAAACTTCGGTCGCCGTACCTCAGCTGGAATTTCCTGATTACTCAACGGAAACAGATCAAAAGAAAAAAGAAATGCTAGTTCAAGACGATGATTTCGGCGATTTCACCAATTTTTCCGAGCATACGCAATTCGACGAAACAAATGTACCTGATCAAAAAGACGAGGATGACGATTTTGGTGATTTCAATAATTTTGAAACAGCATTTGAGCAGCCTGCTGTAGAACAGCCACAAAGTAGCCTAAAAGAGTCAATTTATCGAATAGAAAATAAAAGCGTGAGTTTCTTTTACAATTGATTCTTTCGAATTGACCAAAAGTTTGCATTTTTTAGGCTGCTAACAAGATAGAAGACATAATAACTACCATGTTTTCAACGGACTGGGAGCAATGTGAGATTGAGATACAGTCGTTGATAAGTCAAGCGGACAAGGTCTGGCAGAGCATTAAAAATGTTGAAGAAACGAATGCCCTGACATATCAATGGGCAAACAGTTCCAGCAATAATGTCCTGCTAAATTCTCTTGGTATCGATTCTCGTAATATTGTGAGTAACGTTTGTTTTGCACGTAACATTACAATCGATCAAAGCATAAAGTATTTATTCATTTTAGTTATTCGGACCAAGATGGAATCCGAATGTTCCAAGATTTGCTGCAAATCTTGGCTTTACTCCATTGGAACCAATCAAAGCCACAACTGATTCTCAAACAGTTGCTGCATCAAATAGCAAATCTCAATCTTCAACTAATTCAGAAGTAAGTTTTTATATGTAATGCTCTTCTGAGTAGGTGATTATATATTTTTTTTCAGTAAAGATTTTGTATTAATGATAAATACGCACTGTATATTTGACTGTAATTAATTGGATTATAATTTTGTTAGGAAGTACCTGCTGCTCAATTTGATTGGAATAGTTCTGGGCTTGTTAATCCTTTAGAAGCTAGTAAGTATTCTCCCAATGGCGCATACATTTATATTACAAGTTTGTTAATTTTATTTTGCTGTCACGACACTCAGTATTTCATTAGGCATATCCTCACATCTTAAATCATAGTTACACATTTTAGTATGAAAATATTTAACTGGTTTATTCATTTTTTTTGCTTCTGCAAATTATATTTTGTATAAAGTACGCTAATCGCTGGGTATATTCTTTGATAAATCGTGTAATCTAGGTGGTGGGTTATCTGCTCTTCTACCTCTGGACTTTTTGTGTCCTTTCGATCCTCTACTAACATCCCACAACTCCACCAACTCTGAATCCTATCGCCGATCAAGTAGCGCAAGGAATTCCATTAATTATCGTAAGTTTTAGGCTTGTATTTGTATAACGAGAACACACAGAAACATTAGATTGTTTTACTGCATGTTTGTACACTTTATCGTGTTACATCTCTGTATCCAGAATCATGGCTTTCGAATGAAACAATTTTACAAAATAACAGATATCTCAGAAGTGAATGCGAACCGGGAACGATGCAATTCGGTGTCAAAAGTGAAGACGATAGACTCTCTGGAGAACGACGTTGCGAAATCACAGAACACGAAACGTTCACAGTCTTCGAAAATAATCGAACCTTTGCCTGCTCCACGCGCAACGGAATGCAAGAGGAGAACTGACGTCGACTCGGGATATAAGCAGAAAAGCGCAAGTACTCAAAAAGGTATTCCAAAGGAGAAACAATGTCCGTTAATGGAAAAACAGTTGCTATCGGTTGATAAACAGTGCATGGCCGAAAGACAATACGCGCCAATTGAGAAACAGTTTTCGCTAAGTGACAAACGATATTTGCCAACAGAAAAACCAACAGCGGGAGACGTTTACCGCAGTAAGTCTGTGAATAAAAGATCTGGATCCGAGCACGTGGTGATAGACAGATTTGGCCGGGTAATGCCAATACAGTCGGAAACAGCGAGGGTGCTGAACCGTTTGCCAGATCTCTCCTTCCTTAGCGCTAGAACATTGATGCTAGATCGGGAACATAAGCAGCTCGCCTGTGAAATGGGTGTTATAAGTCGTAAGATGCCTGGCTGAGTAACATCGGTCTGAGCGTGAGTTTGAAAGGTCAGAATATTCGATGGATCTCACTCTGTCCCGCGGACAAATTGATGAGAAACGTAGAAACGAAGGAGAAAAGACATTCCGTTAACCTTTCAAACCCGTGCTTGGGCCGACCTTTGATCCTAACCTATATTTCCTCCTGAAGAAATAAGAAAAAAAAAAAAAGAAAAAACACTGACTGATAAAGTATTCTGTACTCTTTATTCAGAAAAAGAAAACAAGATTCTGTGTGGGATATGTGAGATGGTGGTGGATGTCTACTTTCTGTTCATAGGAAGGACAACATTCCATGATACAGATTTTCTATCATTTTTGCACGATAAGATGGCAATATAGAACATTATTACTTTGTTCACGAAATGGAGTTGTGATATTTTATCATTTGAAGTATGATCACTTCCAGATCTTCAGATACTTCCAAAACGAGAACATCACTTGTAGCATGTGATACTTAGTTTCCCTGTGTTATTTCCTTTAATTCAGAGCTTTCTCGCTTCTTTATTTTCTACTCTCAGACGTGGACCAATGTATACTTTACATATATATAGTTGAGTATAGTATGATATGATATTTTTAATCACGTTCTAAGCAGTAGCAAAATCTATGCTAACATATGGCGAATATCTTGTTAAAAACGAGATTATGAATGTTGCAATGGATTAATCAGTAATTAAGCCATTTACATTCCTATTTTCATTTTTAACTTTGCTTTTTAATTTAGCAACAGTTTGTTGATATAATGTACGTTACTAATTATTTATATATGACTTGCAAGATTTCAAGCAGAATGTACTTAATCTTTTATACATACTGACTCTGTTCCGTGAACAGGTGTACAAGAGTATGTAAGTGGTGCAGCCAGATATTATTATTAGAGGCATACGACGTTGTCACAAATTAGTTCCATGATTAATCAAGGAAGGAATTACTACTTTGAGAAAGAGTATTGTTCAGTTTTGTGTTCAATTATGCCTCTTTATAGGATTTATATTTTATGCGCGTATTTTTATTTTATACAGCATATTAAATATATATGTATTCTTTGTTTATGTAAAAAGAAGATAACGTGTAATTGTATAATGAACGAGAAGTAACTAGACTGTTAACAACTTTCATTTCAATAAATTTTGTGACCGCGCCACAGGTAGTCAATGATATCGAGTATTTAATGTTCGAGTTAAGATTTAGCACTTGTACTACGTTCAAAAGGAATTATCGTGAATATACTTGGCGTTCAAAAGTGACTTAACAAATAATAACAATAAGATATCTTTTAGGTGACTAAGGTAAAAGTATTTCCGAGAGAGTTGATAGGAGATGCTTGTGACTTTGACATTTGATAACTATCATTTTCCGTAGATTGAATGTTCTTGTTACAGTATAATGATTTAAAGCCTAATTAGATATTTTATTGTTAGTAAAGAGAGGATTTACTCTTGAGTGGAAGATTTCAAAGCAATTAAGGCGATTATGGAAAATAATACAGATATGTTACCTTTTTTGTTTGAAACCTTATCCTCAAGAAAACTGTTCAAAACGTTAAACAAATGATATATTCTAATTATATAAATGTTAAAATGTTGTTAATTTTGATCAATTGTGTTTTAATATTGTGTTACGAATGTTGTAATTACTCTGTTATAAATATTACTCTGTTATATTACTCTTCATATTATCTAATACATTTATTTTATGTTCTAAATGTGCACACAATAAGTCTTCTTTTTGATATTAATTAATGCAGAAGAATGGAATAATTTCTACAGTACTTTATTATTTTTGAATAACGGCTTTTACAATCATTTAGTATTGCACAAAATCTTCTACACAAGAACAATGTTCTCTTCATACAGGATGTATCAGAGAAAAAGCCTGTGTCATTGGATTGGTACTAGTCTTAACATTTACACACAGAATATGGAAATAATTTACTCTTATTTTTACTGTGTCAATAAAAACTATTATTTTTACTAGTTGTGTTGAATCAATATCAAATATTTTACATTACTGATACAGATGCATTCACATTGCCCAACTATACTTAGGGAAATGGGAATCTGGGAAGAAGGATAAAATAATAATCATTTATTGTAATTTTGTTAAATTCTAGAGAGAAAACAGTTGATTCAACGAATTGTGAGTATGGAATAAAGACAGAAAATATAAAAATACAAAAAATATAAGAAACAAAAAAGAGAATTAACTGAAGAATTAGAAAAAAAAGGAATTACTGTAAAAGAAAAAAAAACGCAAAACTTCTAAGAAGAAATAACCCCAGCATTGTAAGAATCATTGTAATATAATTTAAAATCGGTGTAATTAGTAAAAGGAGAAAAGTAAAAAAGATATATGAAAAAGGAAGACTAAACAAGAAACAAAAGTACAAGTGGAATATAAAATCGTATTTACAAAATTCAGCTAGATTCATACTGTGATACAAGAAAGAGAAGGACAAATTAGAGCTAAGAAAGACTGAATCATTGAAGCAACAGAAATTTACAGAGATGCTTTTCTGAACAGTGTAATTAACATGCAGTTAATAAAGACTTATTTTCTATAAATTGTACTGTAGGAATTTATATTTTATTTATACTGTTGAACATTACAAGATAGTTATGGTACAATGAATTATAATAATCGAACTAAAATGTAGATAAGTAAATAAAAAAAAAAAAAACAAATGCTGTACCAAATGCGCAATACCAAAGGCCAGCAAGAAAATTATATCTGATATATTTAACAATGTATAGTTCAATGGGCAGTATAGGAGCAAAGTCTTCCTGAAGCGCCATCCTTTGGTAAAACTTCAAGTTATGAAACTTAAAAGAAAATACAAGACTATACGCATAACCAGTATATAATATAATAAAAAGAATAAAAATACTGGTTCTTTTTTTTCCTGTTCGCAGAAAAGTTTAGGGAAATTAGTAATTTACCATTGGAATCATGTCCATCATTATACACGTCAGGCGTAGTCGTGCGCCGACTGGTACGGACAGGTACCAAATGCCACAAGGTCACGACTCGTGTATCCGTATACATGAAGGAAGAGAGCCAACACGAGACGAGGAGAGAAACTTTTTATTGTGCGACTTACTGTTGCGCTAGTAAGGTGCGCAGCCAATGAATAGCGAAATAACAGGTGAAAAAACATATACATTGTACTGAAAATGCCTCTTCTTCGCAGGAAAGCTTCTTTAGGAATTAATTTTCTTCTAGAAAATTATATTCCGCAACATATTCTTAGCTGTTAAAAATCACCAAAAAGTAATTACTAAAAAAAAAAAAAAAAAAAATCCAGAATAATGATTTGATCCTAATACTTCAGTTTCAGCATTTCTAGTCTCAATTTGGCTACTCTAACACATTATTCAAAAAAATCAGCGTATCAGTGAGAATTAGTATAACACAAAATGTGTTAGCACAAATTTAATTTAGAGAAATATTGAAATTTTTAGGAAAAATTAGAAGATCCTGAGAAATAAATTGAAAGGATTTGGATCAAGGAGAAGATCGAGCAATGGGCACTGTGACATTTGCTTCGACTAATAAATGCGTTTGCGAGAAAACGCATGGGCCAACAACGTGTCGTTCTCTCGAGCAGCACCACCGGGCACGGGTGGCACAAGTTTACGCTATACAACTTCATTCACAAACAGTGTACGCAAAGACAAATTGCGGGTTTCCCTCTCGAATACATACCGCTTCCAATTAACTCTGTCGCTGCGTGATAGATTCTTGTATTTACACACGCAGGTACGCAGTTATTTAATGACATTCTTTTTCATCTCCATCATCGTTCATATATCTTTTTTAATTAATTAAATATTTGAATTATTCCAACATCTTCAATTGTTTCTCTCCACTGGAAAAATAAATTTTTACAATTATTATTCTCTTGGAACAACATTATATACTCTTGTATTTCTTTCTTTGATGAATTTAACCTTGAGATATTCAAAAAAATTAAAATAGCACTTGGAAAAATTTGTTAGCACAAACAAAAGTCTGACATGAAAGAATTCAAAGAACAAATATAGGTGCAGGATATTCTTGGATCTGTTAAGATTTGCATATGAAGCTGAGAGAGGGAAGACGTTATCTGTATTGTGGAACCGGAACCAATTATATACCTGCGTGCAACATACTTTGGACTACAACGTCGAATACAACTTGCAGTTGCTCCTGATAAGACACTGATAATAACGTAAAGAATTTGAAAAAGAAATTGGGAAAGCGATAGTGTAGAAGGGTCCAGAAAAGAGGCAGAGAATGTCTAAATGCTAAAGGTTAAAGGAAAAGGTTACTGAAAAAGAACGCGCTGTTTAAATACAGAAGAAAAAAAAAACAGGGAAAATTCATCCTTGGAACCGAAGAAAAAGTGAATTAACAAGGCCATTTCGTCGTTTCCAAATTTTTATAAATAATTTACACGGATCACTGATGAAATGCTAAAACTTTGTATTTCCTAGAAAGTTAAGCTGCTGAATAGCTCTTGAAGCTGCAGTGAAGTACTGCAGAAAGAGAAGAGCAATACAGCAAATTTTATAGTTTCAGTCAGAAGACATTATGATTTCGGGTAAAACATACGTAATAAGATGGTGTCCAACACCTCAGTGTCAGGTAAATTCATCCTGTTTAATTAATAAGGCTGTTTCGTGCGAGTCTCTTCTTAAAGAGCAGGAGAATGATTTTCCTTCCAAGTGTTTTCTTTTCAGAATGAAAGGAAGCTGTAAAATTGGACAAGCTATAATAGTGGATTACAACAATCGGCAAAACTGTCTCTTAAAGGTTTTGTTTCTAAAAACGTGCACGCGAGGATGTACGTAGTTTAGGAAGAACGATTATAAGAAGTTCAATCGATCATTTCTAACGATCAGCTCTTACATCTTATTCAATATCCATGTCACAACGTTCGCAGGTATTCGCTAGCTAAATGCTATCTTAGCAGGGAATTTGTCACACGTGGTGCTTGGAACACCATTGTTCGGCGCATGCGCGGCGGCACCAGAACCTCGAGCCCCCGTACTCGACGCGTGTACCTACGCGGCCAGGAGTCAGTCGTTCGCTGACCGCGGTCGCGTAAGTATTATGCGGGTCAGCCATGAACTGAACTCGAAGCTCACTCGTGCTTTCTTCGCGTTCTTTTTTTTTTTTTCTATCTCTTTGTTTCCCCTCCCTTCGTGTTGAGGGAGGCCGGTGCTTGCTCTTCGTTTCGGGAGGAGGTGCACGCGCAACTCGCGACTGCCTCGACCTGAGTACACCTTGAGACCAATATCGTCGTCCCTTCGATCCTTCCCTCGAGAGAAACTTCCTCGGGAGTATTAGTCCCGAGGTTTAGTTAATCCCTCCCCCGAGTTGAAAGTGCGATCTCGGTAGCAATCACGGTTTTTCTTGACTCGAGAGTCGAACGGTGTAGTATCCAGAGAGAAGAGCCTGTGGTGCCGGCAAACGGAGTACAGTGGCAACGAAAATTGTGATCGTGAGAGGTGTGCGGTGAGAAGGACGGTGCGATGGCAGTGGCTGCGGGGCCACGCCGGCCACGCACGCTCCTCTTTGATGGTAAATACTCTTCCGGGACTAGTTTTGGGACGAAGAATCTGTTGCGGTCAGTCCTCGATGGGTTCCCGCTGATCCTAGTCCTGGTCGGTATTGCACAGGTTGCCGGATTTAGGATGGGTAAGAATGCTCACTGAACAGTTATATTTTTCCTACCTGTAGAAAAAATCACGCGTGTTTCTTGTCTTTTTTCCCAATTGATCTCTTACCTTCCCTTACTCTTCCTTGCTGTAGCAATGTGTACTAATTTTGCCGTAAAATGGTCACAACTCCATCTCCAGGCACCTGTATCAACGATACACATTATTAGTTTCTTTTGCACTGTACTATAAATATACTATAAATATTACTATACTATACTATATATGTGGATATAAATACACTATGAATATTACTATATATTATTACATAAAATCACAACTCCATCTCCAGGCACCTGTATCAACGATACACATTATTAGTTTCTTTTGCACTGTACTATAAATATTACTATACTATACTATATATGTGGATATAAATATACTATGAATATTACTATATGTTATTACATAAACTACTATATATCACGTTATGTATACATTATGCATTACATTACACATTATGTATGTAACTGTACATTGTTAAATAAATATCACTGTCAATGGTTTAAATAGAAAAGTAGACTACTAATAGCAAGACTGACTGTTACTGGACCACTACTATTAGAAAACTAATAGCAAGCTAGATCGTGATCTGCATAAACGTAGTCTGTAAAATTGCGCCGTGTTTAAAATGTTGTAATACTTGAAATGCAGTGAGAAGATTTGAAACTAGATTTCGTTGCATTTCTAGTTGCATCTGTCGAGTCGTAATTGCAATTGTCGTTGAAATGTTGCAAGCAAAGGGAGGAAACTGTTCGCGACAACCTGTTGGCGATCGCGGGCGTCTGCCGCACGCAGATCGGTCGATGTGTTTCATCGATATGAATCCTTGCAATATCTGGCAATACTTTTCGTTGATCGTTTGCTGTAACAGAACGATCATTAATTGACGTGTATTTAACCTTGAATTTAAACTTGCATCGAAGTATCGGCCTTACAAATTTCGTTCTCACTCGTCCCTCTTGAACGCGAAGAAATCATCAATCCGTTAATCATTGAATTCTACAGAGGCAAGCATAGACGACACGCTCGTCGATGAATGATCCGTCTGTGTTGCCCCGTTGTGCGCAAGAAAGTGCACAATTAAGTCTCTTCTTTCCTTCTCTCTCGCAGAGTGTGTTGTCTTCGTTTAGAAATTTCCTGGGAATTTCATACATATATCGTTGAATTATACATTTCCACCACTTCTCTTCTAAAGCAGTAAATCAAACGAGCTCGTACACGATTGAAAATATCCCGAAGGATGATAATTGATAAATAATTGATAATCCACGGGAAGAGCTGTTTACTGTAAACGACTCGGTGCTAAAAGCAATGGCCCCTCCCCCATTAGAACGTACGTTCTTCTTCTTTTTCGAGAAACGTGCGCTTCTCGTCTGGGCCAATTAATTACCTAAAAAAAAAAAAAAAAA